TCTTAGTAGAGTTTTCAAGATAACTTAGTTTTTCTCTTATCTCCGAATTTGGTCAAAATGATCTACGGGGAGAGTGTTGTTATTTGGTATTCTGAATATTATTGCTTTCCTAAAATCCTGTAAGTTGATATATATTTTCCTCTTACAATCAACTTGCAGATTGTATATTGATCCTGTTACATTAAAATAGTAGTATTTTGAATAATATGATTTGTTTTTTAAATGGTATCCTGTACAAGATACTAGTATATTATTATGAGTTAAATTGTAGTGACATGCTTTATAGTTTTTGTTATGAGGATTAAAAATCCTTTCAAAAATCATTTTGTCTGTTATTATCTATCTTTTTTTTATCAGAATTCAAGTATTTAGTGTGTAGGGATTGTATTGTAGTTGTATATCTGAGGGGTTTGCTGATGCTAATATAAGGTTTTGTATTACAGAAAACTATTTTAGATAGTATCCTCTAGGTATTTTCTTTATATTGTGATGAAAGTTGTTTCATTCAAGTAATTTAGTATTGGTTATATTTAGGAACTATTCAATGCTAAAGATATTGTGATTGTTTAGTTTGTCCTTGAGGTATGATACCTTAAAGTGGTTTATTAGAATTTGGTTTATTGAAGTTCTTTCAAAGTTTTTTGAGTAAAGCTAAATATTGCCTTGTCAGAATATTTGAAATCCTAAAGTATGGAGAGCTATAATCATTTGGCTAGTTTGTATGTGTATTTGACAAGTTGGAAAGACTAGTAGTTCTGAAAGAATAGAGATATTAGTTGAAGCTGAATCTTGTAATTGTTGAAGCATAATCTTTAGAAATGATGAATTGAAATCAGCTCAATTCAGATTTTTTTGTAAAGTAGAGATTATTGCTGAGAGCTAAGCTTGTACTAAATTAGTTAGTACATAAATATCTGAATTGAATAGAAAAGAATTTAGTACTCCTCTCACAAGTTTTGCTTTGTATTTAATTATTTGAACACATATTTTGTTAATAGAGTTAATTTGTTTTGGTGATAGAAAGGAAGAGTATAGTCAGTATAATAAACGTGATATAATTATATTGTTTATTATATAGATTGCTTGTCTTTCTGTTATTTGTGCAAATTGTAATTTCTTCAAATTGATCATTACTTCAGCAATAATTTCATTTTGAACTGCTTTTGGTTTCTTGTTAGTTGAGAACTAGGCTTCTAAATATTTAAAAGGTATTCCTTTTGTTATTGTATTTAGTTGTTAATCATCGAGGATTATCAAGTTATCTGTATCAGTTGAATTCATTACTAATATTGATTTTGAGAGGTTAACTTTGATATTAGTTAGTTTGTAAAAAGAAGAGGCTATATTAAGAATATTAGTAAGCATAGTTTTGTTTAGAGCTATCCAAAGGAAGTCATCTATGTATGCTATTATTGAAGTATGAATTTCTTTTACAAATAGTCTAGTTATTTTGCTATTGTAGCTAAGATATTCTTTATGTATCTTAGAAATCAGTGAATCATAGTAAACCTTCCAGAGAAGGGGAGAGATTGTCTCTCTCTAGTCTATACTATCCTCAACTAGGTATAGTGCAGTTAGTCCTATACTTGTTATGACTCTATTAATATAGTAGGAAAATAGATATTCTAACAAAATTATTGTCTTTTCTAGGATACATATTCTTTCCAAGGCTTTGTATAGTACTAGTAAATGAATTGAGTTAAAAGCTTTGAACATGTCCTGTAAGAGGATCCAAATCTCTTTTTTGTTTGTAGTAGTATCTTCTAGAATATGAGTAAGTTGTGATATTAGTTGAAGCATAGACTGATGAGAGAAAGCTGCATAGTTGTAAGGTGATAATATTTGATAGCAAACAAGAATATCAGTTAGTCGATTTGTTAAGATTTTGGTGAAGATATTCCTTGTGTAATTGATTAAAGTGATAAGGCGAGTTGAGTTAAGCTCATAGTTATAATGTTGTTTTTTCAAAATTAGTCAGATGTTAGCATGTAGCTATTGATTAGGAATAACTTCTTGTGTTAGACAGTTATTTAGAATTTCTAGAGGAGTTGTAAGAGCTACAGGAAGTAAATATTAAAGAACTTCGTTTGTAATTCTTAGAAAACTAGCTGCTTTGTTTTTTGGTGCTAAGTTTATTGTTCTTCTTGAGTGATTAGGATAAGTAAGATGTCATAAGTATTGGTTTGGATATTGTTAAGTAGAAAGTAGTATGAGTACTACTCTTCTTAAAAGATATTATCTGGTAGATTGCTTCTTGTCTAATCTTTAAAATGAAAGCATATAGTTGTTTTGATCTTTTCGTTATCTGTAATCACCCTATCATTTTGAATAATCTTTTCAAAATTAATTGGTTCTTTTCATCTTTGTAAGATACTATCTATTATGTAGCTAGTATTATCTTTGAAATCAGAGTATCTTCTATTTATATAAAATTTTATATGTTCATTTTGTTCTTGTTTTTTTTAAAATTATATGCTTGCTATATTGTTTGTTTGTGTTGTCATATTTGATCTGTTATTTCAGTTAATGAAGAATTAATTTGCTCTTGAGTTATTAGAGGAATATTCATTTCTACAAGTTTGTTTACTTTAAGCAAGTGGTAGTTTGCTTTAGATAAAGAGTCTGAAGAGTTATTTGACAAACTTTGTAGCATTTGTTGATATTCTTAAGAGCGAAGTAGAGTTTGGTTGCTTTTAAAGACAAAGCATAGAAAGTTTTTGAAGCAGTGAAGGTATGTGAGATAGATTTGTTTATTGTTTCCTTAACTTTTACTACCTAGGTATTCTAGGCTTTATTTATATTATCTCTGTTAATATTGTTGAAAATGGAAAGTTGAACATTGAAGGAAGTATCTAATAAGTTGGTAAATTTTTCCCAATCTTCTGTTGTTATTTTTTCAAAAAGATAAATCTTTCTTTTCTTTTTTTTTGTTTCTAGGACTTTTTTGGATTATAAAATTAGTATGTCATGATGTACTCAAGATACAGTAGTTGCTATTAGAGATGTAGGTAGCGTTAATTAGAGATAGTGTATCAATTACCAATATTAGGTCTGAAGAAATTCAGAGATTATCTATTTGACTATTTGTAGTAGGGCCTTGCCAAGTTGGTATTTGAATATTGTGAAATTCAATAAAACTGGTCATGTTGGCTGCTTTTAGATTTGTAAAGATTTGAAGTTGTGGATTTCTATATTGATTGGTATTAAAGTCTCCTAAAATAATTAAGTACTAGTTTTTAGTTTTAGCTTCTGTAACCCAAGTAAGTAGTTGTAATTAGGTATGTTTTAGTAGTATTGGATAGTTTAATGGAAGATAGATTAAGATAATACAAGTTTTATTATTATTCAGGAAGAAGAAATCAAGACTAATTGCTGTTCCTAGAAGTATATTAATTTTGTGAATATATGGTTGCAGTTGGTTACAAACCATTAGTACTATTCTCAGACTAGCTTCTTATTGTTCTGGCCTATATAGTTGAAAGTTTGAAGTATATATCTTATATAAGAGGTTAGAAAGTGATTTTATTACTAAATCTCTTAGTTTTGTTTCTATAATAGAGATTATATGCAAGTTTGATTCTGTATAGTATTTGATCTAATTTTGTATTTTTAGAATATCATTTATGCCTCTGACATTGTATGTAGTGATATTGATTTTTTCTTGTATGTTAATTCTGAGAGATTTAGATTTGTTCTCATTTTCTGCTATCAGCAATGTATTTGTATAGGGATATGTACTTATTGATTATCCATGAGAGGATCTGTCTCAGTTTGTATTATGTGCATGTTAGTTGTGGTTGTTTTTTGTATATTGAAAATATCAAAAGAGGGTTCTAGTAAATCTATTAGATCGAAGATATATTCTGGTGTAGTGTTGAAAGAAAAGTGCTGATATAAAGTTTCAAGTATAGCTAGAATATTATAATGTTTCCTTATGGGAATATTTATTTCGATAATTTGTTTCTCTTGTAGTATTGAGTTAAGTTGTTCTATAGTTGAAGGTAGTCTAGGTAAACTTTGTTCTGTATCTGTTTATATTTCTTTTCTTTATTGTAATATAGTAACTAGGCTTAACAATTTTATAGATTCAAAAAGAGTTGTTGTCACCAGCTAAACCTAGTAACTAATTACTTGACATAATGAGTTCGAGAGTTAAGGAATGAGTTTATAAAATTTATAGATAATAATAGTTTATAATAAGATGATAATATCAATTTAGAGATAATAATACTTGGTTTTGATTTATAATTTAAATAGTTTATTGATAAATAGTTTTATAA